AGAAGTAGACTCGTGTGCATATGAAACTATAGGTGTTTTTCATGTTGTATAAACGGTACGCATATCATCCGATGCTGTTGCCGCACTAAAATTCAATCTCTGGCAAGAGAATGGATAGCAAAATCGTGTCTGCAGCGAGTTATCTCTGAAATTTCCACGTCATTAAGTCAATTTGTAATAAGAAGTATCAGTCGCTTTATTGAATTTATTATGAAACGTCGCACCGAAACGACTCACAGATACAAAAAAAAAATCTATCATTAAATCTTCGTTATGATTTGTGTGCGTGTTTGCATGGTGTTCGGCTAAAACCATTCAGTGGTTGGCAACGTCCTCCAAAAATAACAACGCAGTGATAGTGAGCCAATGAAAGAACGTTTAATGAAGTTTTTTTTCGTAGTGATATTTTATGTAAATGTCTAGTAGTCCTTTTTATGTGGCGGGATCGAGTTCTACGGAATAAAATCATTAAATTTCCTATGCCACAGCCGCCAGCCCATGGTAAAAAAACCAACCACAGTTTTTGTCCGGGTTGCTATGAAAATGCATTTAATTTTCGATATCACAGCTTAATGACATTTTTTCCCGAAACGTTGATACTAGTTGATTTCTTCGTAGATGATTGTGGCCAGTGCGCCGATTTTGTGGTGTGCAAATTGCGTGATATCAAAGGGCAACCGATATAATCAAATGATAAAAATTAACCATTTAATTAATTTCCAACGCATTTTTTTTGGTTTTTGGAAAAACAGACTGGTTCAAGTTCAAATGTTTATTCCACGATGTACAGAAGAATGACGATGGAACATCATTGAATTATTTCATACATAGCTATCTATGATGCCGTTCATACTGCCAGTTTTACATGAAAACTACGCATAATTGAATTCAATAATAAGTTTATGTTTCTTTGTAAACAATTTATTTTGTGTGAAGAGGAAAAATAACAGGTCATTAATTAAATTCTTAGATTCAGTAATTTAATATAAAGAAATAATAATTTGATACCGTCAAACCGAAGGATGTAACAATGAAAATAATGCAAAACGTATTATATTCAACGTTAAATAATTGCGGCGTAATAGTTTGAATCGTTTAAAAAAATCTAGTTGACTGACGTCACTATACGAACTGCTATTTTGTATCATTCTGCATTCATTATTTTCAGACCATGCGAGTCAGAGAAATATTCAGTCAGACAATTTTTGCGAGTCTGAGAAATATTCAAATATTTGTACAATAGAATTTTTTACTAAAATTTCTGCAAACATTTGATTAGTTGATGGGATTTCTTTGCTTTGCTGAATGCTGATGATAAAATGTATGATTTTCGTTTCTTGCAGTAAAAATTTGAAATTCAATAAAATTTCTCAAGGTAATTTTATTCGATGAAATAAAGCACGTGTCGCCCAAAAAACTATTAAATTTTTGCAGAAAAATAGAAACAAAATTCTCTAGTATGGAAATATAAGACACACAAGGCGAAAGTAACATGAATATTACATTATAAAATAACATGAATATCACATCACATCACAAGCAAAGAGCTGTTATCTGATTTTCCGTGTGCAAAATACGATAAAAATTTATTACAAAATAACACAGATTCACTTATGATTTGCTTACAGTTTCGTGCTGTTTTGTTTATTTCTTTTGGTGATTTCGTTGATAAAACACGTCATGTTGTGTGCCATTTTATCCATCGAAAGGAGACAATTTTCATGTTTAATGTCATTACGAGTGTTATCGAAGGCAGTGCCAATGCAAACATTTTCTATGCGAATTAAGAGAATATTCGCGAATGAAAATTGGAAGGTGCAAAATTGCAAAAGATTTTGTCATGTTTGTTGCGCCTCCATATAAAGGAATCGCATATCATGTTTGCTAATATTTTTTATTGCACCCACTCGTTTCTTTAAAGAAAATACCGATTCCATTCAGATCAGTTCATGTATAATCTATTTTATGAAAATTCACTTATACATTCCAAAAAGAGTGAGGAAAAAATGCAAACATGCACGACAAAAGAAAAACAATACAGTGAATTTTTGCACGCAACCAGCGGAAAAGAATTCAATTTCTTGTAAGGGAAATTGAATTAAGTGTTACTGAAGTGAATTTCATTAACTTTACAAGTGATAACAACGCTGTAACGAGGGTCGTTTGGTTTTAACAAACATTGAAAATGAATTTTTTTAAACGTCGTTTACGAGTTTTTAATTTGTGTGGAATTATAAAGAAAGAATTTATGACAATGACAAGTTTTAGATCGTTCAATAACAAGCTATGACAAACAGCAGTAAATAATGATAATTTTGCAGTGATTACAATAAAAAAAGGCGCTACAAAAGTTGCCATGGAGCTCATTTGTTATGCTCGCTAAAATAATTCAAGCAAATTTTCGATGAGTCTGCTTTTGACGTGCGCCGGCAAAGCGGAATCGATTCATTTCTATACTTTGTCACAAAAACTTCCATGATAAGTCAAACAAAGCACTTTTTACATCGAACGTAGTTTGTACACATTTCAGTGAAAGTTCGATTGACCTTATCTTAAAGTGAGCACATGCCATAACATTGATACCAAAAGAAGAGAGTATTGTAGGTGTTTTATCATAAATATGGCACATTTCATCGGCACAAAAACGCAATTTTCGTTCATTTTTGTGTATATACTCTAGAGAAAGTACCCAAATGCATAAAAGAAGATTGGATACTTTTCCGAATAGCTCCCCAACACAGTACGCAATAGAATGTGACAATTGAAATTGATTCAATGATGGTAGCAAATAAAATGGAAAGTTGTAAAAGTAAATGGTTTCATTTAGTTTTCACGCTGTGTCCAATTTGAGTTGATCCAATCGAGAAATAGAACCAGGAAGAACTACATATATATGTTTTGAAGCGCTGCGACCATCCTTAAAGAAATTGAAATTCTCAAGTGAATAAACTCGTAACTTTTTCTGCTCTTTCATCGTTCATACACCATTCGTACGTGTGCATCACAATGTTCTCATTCATCGTCAAAATCATTTACTAATTATATTTTCAGTTTCTTTAAGAGCATGACACGTTTCCAAATGTCACAAAAACATTTTCGTATTTTACACAATTTTCCGCCTTTTCGAACAGTTTTAACCGTGCGTTTTTATTGAAGAAGAAGCGAAAGGATTCATTCATTTTCTTGATTCGCTGCACATAATGGTTTCTCGTTCATTATTTAAAGTCAACAGCACACACAAACTTGTTACGGCTTCTGCACGTAAACTGAATGCAAAATGGAAATTCTTATGGTTTATTATATTAGCGCCGCATTTAAAACTACTTGTACTTTATTTTAAATTATGTGGCTCGCAGACACGATAAATTTGTAAGTGGTGAATGTATAAATTTATAATTGTGTGCGTTTTTTTCCATAACCTTTGAAATTATGAATGAGCGCTTTGTTCAAATAAAAATAACTCTCTTTCTCGAAAAAAGAAATATGGAAAAATTTGGAATTTACTTGGAGAAATATGGTTTTTGTCGGTCTTAATTTCCTTTACATGAAACTAATTGGCGTTAAATATATTGATGCAAATCAACGCGTGCAATGAAAATGCGATGGATGAAAAGTGCAAAATGTTAACATAAATTGTTAATCGCTTAACACGGCGTAACAAATTGATGGTTGGTTAACTCTAGAAGAGAAAAAAAAAAACAATGTCGTGACCAAAATCAAGTTAAAAAAAGCATCGAATTGTTTCACATTCCCGGCAAATATTTTAATATATGCACTGCGTGTGTACACTGTATAAGCTGAAATCCAATTATTTTGCTTTTAAATTGGATTAGAAATGGACATTCATTCATTCACCTATTTTAGAATGAGACTTCATATAAGGCTTCAATTGTAATTTCAAGCATTCAACAATGGCACCATTTTCATATCTAACGTGATAGATTGATATAAATTGAAAAAAAATGTTCATGGTATTGATCTGATTTTAGATAATAATTGGTAAAAACAACGACGACAAAAATGCTACAAATGCTGTCGTTTAGTGTACGCTTAGTGTGTACACAACCTAAACATGTAATTTTCAATTATGATTACATCAAACATGCAACTCTTTGACATATTGCAATGTGAGCCGATGGTTGAACGGATGAGGTGAGACTTATTTAAGGCGTAACATATCCTGTGCAAATGCAAATCAATACAAAACGCAATTCCACACGGTAATAGTTGTCCATTGGTCGGTATAGGTTGAAGGGTTAATCAATTTCATACATTATTTGTAATGTTAAATGCAAATTGCAATGAATAAATCTTAAAAGCCGTAAAATGTATTCATTCTTTCGTCTTTGTAGTGTGCATTAAGATTTTCTATGAAAAAAAATGATACATTCAAAATGGGCGCTGTGTATTCAAAACAATTGGGCAAAAACACGCCGTCAGCGCTGGCAGTGGTGAGTATCGTAAACTTCACGGAGCATTCAGAGTGGGAAAAAGAGCGAAACTTCGTTGTATTTGATTTTATACACAAAACGTTAATTTGCGGCAGCTGTCGCACGTACCGAAATTCTTTTCATATTTTCGCAGTGTTGCCTCTCTCCGTCTCGCATACCTCTCTCACACAAACGTTGCGTTCACTGAGAACATGCGACGCCAAAAAATGTGTATACTGAAATCACCAATGTACAAACATAAACACACAAAATTCATGTGAAATGCGCTCTCTCAGCATTTTATATACTCACACCGAGTATACCTGTTTTGTTCTCGCTCGTTCAAACATTCGTTACGAATAAATCGATACGCGTGAACAAGACAACTCAAATAATGCTCGAAGAAAGCGTCACAAGAGAGAGACATTGTGTACATATAGGGGATTGACGGCAAGAGTAAGAGAGACAAACGGTAAATGCAGAGACGTGCGTTTATATGAACCGCACACAATTTACGCTAGACACTGCGATGCCTCAACACAAACACATACTTCAGTCCGGTTTCAGCCGTTGCATAGTGAGTATTGTTTGAGAGCGAAAGCGTTTACAAAATTCATACCGTTTGTTGAGTATTTCACTGTTTTAAATTATTTGCTAGAAAAGAACAAAAAAGTATATTGCAAAGAGTCCAACGAGCAAGAAATTTGAGAAGTAGACGAAGGCAACAAAAAAATAAACTAGTGAATTAGTTTGAATTTTTATTGACACCATTTGGAAAATTCCATTGTACTGGAATCGAACAATTCATTAACAACGACTTGTGAAAATGCCAACACGGATCGTTTATTGATGCTAAACATCTTGGATACCAAATCATCTCAAGAATTAAAAAGAATTTTATGTGAAACGATTCACCAAATTGAAACACAAATCGATTTTTAGAATCGAAATCAAAGGGAACTTCGTTTATGCGTTTCATTACCAGTAGCGTGTAGGACAGATTAAATAGCAAAAAAAAAACTACCCAAGCATCCCGTAAAATTAATCCATTGAGGTTGTGGGATACGTCGTATATTTTGTTGGTTTCATTTATGCTATGAAAGCCCTTTGTCTCATCGAGAGCACATTACAATCGTACGAGATATTCGATTTGTTGTTGTTTTTTTTGTAATTTGTGAATATATAACATACAAGTTGTGTGTTTAGCGTGTATCACATCTCGGCTGAAAATCGCACCAATTGCAAAGAAGAAGGAACGTGAAGCGACAAAAGAATAAAAAAAGAACGAACTGTAAGCCGACGAAGGAATTGAAGAAAACAAACGCATAAGAGCACAGAACACAAAACAAAAACGGCAAAAAAATTTTGAGGGAAAAAAAACGTGTTGAAAAGGAAAAGAGAATCGACAACAAGCTAAAACGAAAACTATTGCAATCCATTGTTACAACGCAAAGAGAGAGAAAAAAATCATTTGTCGAATACAAGCGAATGGATAGCGTGTGTGTAACATAAGAAATAAAAAAATAAGAAGGAAAAAATTTCATTTGAAACTAACTACACAAGAGAAGAATTTCTTTGTGTTGTTCATTTTGTTTGGATAGAGATATAACTCACATGTGGTGCATCCATCAAATACATTCCGAAACATAAAATCAATTCGATCATTTTAATGTTTGTGTGCTTGTCTCTGCATTAAATGTACCTTATATCCATTTAATATTGTGACTTACAATCACAGTTGAACATCTCGCCAGTCAAATTCAATAATACAAAGTAGTGTGTATGTGTGTTTACAGTTTATGAATTTCCATTTATTTGTATTTGCTGAAGTATTTCGTGATTAAATTTCACAAACCACATGCAAACAAGCCGAACGAAAAATTATTAAGCATTTCGAACAGCAATAACAGCAAAGAGCAATTTCGCAGTGCACATCATAATTTTTGATCGCGAAATTAAATTCAATTAAAAGTTAAAACAGCCGTGGAAATTCTATTGTTTATCCCTCTATAAGCTAGAACGAGCACAGTGATTAAATATAAAATCGGTGTTATAAAAGCAGATGAAAAAAAATCGAAACGTTTTTCAATTAAATCAGCCGAAACAAAGTACGTGTTTGGTGTTCTAATAGAAAACTCAAACGAAATACAGTGTAGTTCAGGTACGAGATATACATAAATATAAAAAAAAGAGATACAATCATCATCAAGTCAGAGCAGGACGAACCGATAAAAATGTTGTTTGAAAATCCAGCAGTAGCGGCAAAATTGCCATTCCCATACACAGTGCCACCACCGATGCAGGCGGCCACTGCAGTTCCACAACTAAGGTAAGAACTTTTACAAACTGAGTAAAAAAAATACCAACTCACTATATTTATACACCAACAACGAGAAGAAATGGGAGAGAGAGAGAGAGAGAGAGAGAGAGAGAGAGAGAGAGAGATGAAAAGACGAGAAATGTGCTCCGACCATCGAATACGAAACACCGACCAATACAAAAACGAAACAATAATCGACGTACTTGCGCTTATCGAAAAATGTGTAAACACCCGACAAAAGGTGCTAAATTCACAAGCATGCAACGAATTTCCAATATCATTTCAAAATATCGACTTTTGTGTCGACGAATTTTGGTTGTGCTTCACAAAACAACACAAATGGGTATTGAATAAAGGCGTAAAAATGTCCATGTATTTGAATAAAATTCGATTCGAATGCTAATGATAGAGCGTTTGCTAAAAAAAAAATTCCGTCAAAGACGGAAATGTGAAATGCGGCCGACGCGTGTTTGTATCCAATGCCAAAAGAAGTGTAAAAATCGCATTTCATGCAATACTCATTCGATCCATCGAAATGACGGTCCAAAACGTTTGGAATTTGTTTATTGTTGATTCTGTATGTGTAATTATGATGGTTTCCAATGCCAACCATTTGTTCGATTGTTGTTATGCGATTTTTTTTTATCCACCACGTACATAATGACATTAGGCTGTTTTCTTGTGCTCGTACATGGTCTCATCGCCTTCTTCGTCGTTGTCGTCGTCGTTTTCTTTCTCCAATGGATGTTCTACCAAATGGAATGTGCTCGGAAATTGAATAGAGAATAGCGAGCGATTTAGTATTGGTGACGCAATCATAAGAAAAGGGCCCGTGGATCTACGAATGGGAAAATAAGTAACGCACCGCAGCTGAGAGTAGAAATGGCATAGTGAAACAAGTCTGTTTGGCAATCGTTTTCATTACGTTTTTTATTGCTTTTTACATCATTCTTGTAGTCGTACGAAATCTTAACCATTAGATTACTGCTTAACGGCAACACTGAAAACATGTCCTTTGTCTGAGTTGTGACTGTGTTTAGGCACAAGCAAAACACTTTTTGTATATCACAACTAAAACCCAAACATAATTCCGTTCGATGCGAAGCGCACGATTTCATAACATCTAGTGAGTTTTATATTCGCATGGAAATGAAACGAAATATTCATGATATGTACAGAGCAGAGCAGCAGCAGCAGCAGTAGCAGCAGCATATTCAAAATACAAAACAAAGGGGAAAAAAATCTCTTGGTTTGCAATGTTAGTGAAGTTGTTGTTGTTGTTGCGGCAGTGTACATGAATCGATCGCTCGTGAAGGTTTTCTTTTATTTCTCTCGAGTTCTCATGCTAGTCTGAGTATAGGCAGTCAGTGGCTGTGGTTGTAGCGATGCGGTGTGCGTGTATTTCTTGCGTTTTTATATTATTGTGTTCGCTTTCGAATGGTTTGGCCAGGAATATGGCAGACCGACAGAGATAGAGTGAGAGTGAGAGAGAGAGAACGAAAATCGTTGTGAGCATGTGTATACAGCATTTTATTCACAGCATAACGCCATCCATCCGACAATCCAACTTTACTGTGAGTCTTTTGTCGATGCGAATGACGTTTTATACTATTGCCTATGTGCTTGTACTTGTGTGTATGCTACACGAATTGATTGCATTTGTAGTTGTGTGCGACGCATTCGAACAATGGTTGATGGTTGTTCGATGGATGAAAACATTCTTTGTGTTGTTATGTGTATTGAAGCTGGTTGCATCGCAGAAAACAATGCTCACAATTCATGATGTCCAAATGACTGACTTGCGAATATATTTCACGACGTAAAAATTGAAATGCTTGACAACGTCGTATCGAGCAAATGAACAAAGTAAGCATTGTTGTCTATCTCTCGAATCGATATGAAATGAAATTTTTTGAATATCCATAAGCATACGAGACCCAAACAAAAAACTCCAATCAACTGTTTTGGAAAAAGCAGAATGGCGACAAAAGAAATATACACACACTTTGTCTGGGTAGCCCGAATACGTGATATGTAAATTTCATTCTGAATATTTGTTGCTTTGCCGAGTTTTATTTACGTATTTTCTGGTTCATGAAATCAGCAATTCTATTGAAAACAAGTCGTTTGAAGTAAATCATTGTTATTTTCCTATCGCGTCGTTGCATTAATAGATTTTTAAGTTCACATCTTCAAATTGTAATGATGTAAACGTTCTTTTTGGCATTTTTGTAAGTCTATTTATTTGGCCATTGTGTTTGCCCTCCATAATACTTGAGTCGAAATATTCTAAACGTTTTCGATCATTTATTACCACTCCAAATTCCATGGACAACATGGATGGAAATAAAAAAAAAAATGAAAAGGGAATGTGCAAAACACGAATGGCCAAACTCACTCAAACATCGAAAATATATGAACTAGTTGGTTGATCCTGGAAATAAGAGAAAAAAAAACACACACTGTAGTTTTGATTGCATGGTTCTAGTTTTTTTCGATATCCGCTTCTGGCAATTCGTGCAATCATATATCAAAGAGTAGAGAGAAAAAAGTTCACATCGTTCGTGATGTGCTAGAAGTAGTACACTTTTCCGCATTCCCAGTGAATTTATGAGAATTCTGAATATTATGGCATCTTTTACAGTTTTTGCGTGCCTTTTTATCCATCGAGCGAGAAAAAAGTGTGACTGATCATCATGCTTTCACTTGAGAGAAAAAAAAGAACATGTATAATATTACGACGAAAAAGGGTACATCATTATGGAAAGAAAATCGAATTTGTTGTTTTTTTCTCGCTTCCCTGTATTTACATATTTGATGAGCACCGGATAATTGCTATTGTCAAGCCACGTAAAATAAAAGAGGACGACTCTACTTTAATTCTCGTTTCATTCGGCCGGAAACTTCATTATTCAAAATTGAGTTCTCCTAAAACGTAAAGATAAAAGACGATCAAATACTTCAAGTATTTTTATCTACAAGAAAAACACAAAAAGTGATTGATTTCGTAGTTGACACATCGGAAAAGACAAAAGAACAGGAAAATATGGAAAAAAAGAATCAGCATCACAGCAAGAGATAACCTTAAATTTTATGCATCCAATCTCAGCACTTAATCAACAACGAACAAAATAGCTACATTGAAAAATGTCAAGACGTTCAGGATATGAGCACATAATAAGCGGAAAATCATTGAGTCTATTTTTTTTTTTCAAAAAGTAAAAAAAGCATTGACAATGACAAAAAATCGTCCGAAAATTTGTATTACGCACGAATTCATATAGTGATAAATACGTACACGATTCGGTTGAAACAAATGGACTATAATTAATACGACATTCCATTCCAAATTTTGTGTCCCTCCGAATAAAAAAAATACGTTCCCATATACTTTGGTATCCGTTTCCAATGAATCAAATTGTGTTGTTGTATTGGATTTGGGGATTTGGACACTTTGCACTCAAACGAGCACATGTCAAGTGCGTAGCTCTACATCTAGTCTTGATTATATACGGATTCATAACGCCCAATGTGAGACATTACATTCGTGATTCGAAGCTAACCAACGAAATGGAAAATCATTTATGGAAAATATAAAACGAAACGTTTTCGCTCCAAGTGTTTTGCTACATGCATTTGGTGTTATTCACTTGAAGTATATACTCCTTCCCTTCGCCAAGCACAGATCCATAGTTTCACTGCCATTTTATCACATTTCACTCCAGATAACACACATACATCCACACATTTCCACATTTCTTTTATGGACGAAAAAATTGATGTGATCTAAACACAAACGCTCTTCAGTCATGCACATTGGCTTTCTGGCTTGAACTAAATGATATAACTTCGATTCCTTTTCGGGTTTTCTCAGCTACGAATCTGTTTACTTTCTTTATTTCAATTTTTTTTTGGCAGTCATGGTACATATATCGAAAAGCAAATGGAAATGAAAACAGAAACCAAAGTTAAGCAAAGAGGAGCACATCATGATTACAAAGATTTGACGCAATGTGCGCAAAGATACACTTTTAAGTTGAGTTTCAAATGATTTTGTCAGCGTCTAACGAAATTCTCAGAGCATTGTCATATACTTTTCGTTTGTTATGATGTGGATCGAGTTTATCATCACAATAAAAATCGTGAATTTACGTATTGGGAACAAAAACAACAAAAACCATCATGGCAATGGCTGACTGAGGTGTCATCAAATACGTTCACCGCAATAAAGGATATGACGTCGAGTTCTTGTACGAATTCAACACGAAAAAATGTGCTTTGAAAAAAATGGCGCTTACTCTTTGTGTTTCGTCTGCCACTTTTTCGTTTCCTTCCTCAGTTGTGAAGTCAAAAAAATATAAACGAGCGCTACGACTCATGCGGTTACCGAGCACATAAGAAAAAACGGCAACAACAACGTATACATAACATAACACAAATGACTGAGAAGAAACCATCTGCGTTCGCGTAGACCCTTTCTGTTCTTTGTCTGTGTCGTTTCATTCTATATGGCACGCTCGTTTCAATGGAATTAAATGCGTTCCAATATACAATCCGACCGTTCCGTTTAGAGAAGATTGTATAACAATAACTGTAATGGGTTAACTGAAACGAGATAATCGAAACAAAGCGCCCATTTGCCAAAGACAACGGAGGAAAAAAAGAAAAACTACAACAACAAAAAAAGGGCTAACTAAATAATTTACCCGCATGTGAATGTGACCATGGAAGCGATTGATCAAATGTATAATCGATTTTCGTAATGCGCTTACGTTTAATGCTTGAAATTGTTTTGGATAGTATTCACTTGACACAAAAATTACAGCCGAATCGAGAGTACTTTCAATTTCAACAGCTGTCTATACACATTCATTACCTTTTACATTCGATTCCGCTCACTCTTCCTTTTCTTTAAAACAAAAAGTTTGCATTTTATAAAACTTCAAAGTCATCACACAATTTTCCGCAACATTATTCCACTTACATGGCTGTTGAGCAAAAATGAATGT